CATATAAGTTCATGATTTCTTGATTATGAGTCTCATATAATAATAAATAACTTTAAAAGGAAATAAATTTAGCAGCACTATTTAATGGTACCATTTATTCCTTTCTAATGGACATGCTCTAATAAATTATTTATAACTAATAATTTTAAATATTCAGTATGACTATATATTCAACTATAGTCAAGTAAGTTCTTAAATCACCAATAGGAAGATCTTAATCCACCATCGATTTTTACGAACATCACACATATTTGAGATTTTTCATGAAGGAAATTAACTCCAAGCTAAATTAATATCAATTAAAAATAACTTTCAATATAATGAAAATTCATGACCAATTAATAATCTCAATAACTTAAATTGGAATTTGAGATGTTCATCGCCTCAGTTTCCTTTAACTTCATAGTTCAAGCTACTTCACTCAAAATAACTTTAACAAAATTTCAAACTTCTCAAAAGTTAATTTAATTGTCATACATGAGCTTTATCAACAATAATAAGAAAACATGATYTTCTTATACAGTAACATGCCAAATTAAATGATCACAAAATACTCTAACATGTTAGAATAATTATTAGCTCAGGTGCAAAACACAATTATTATCGATAAATATCATGCTCAAAGTATGACATTGATATGAATTGAAAATTGATAAATTCTCCTGAGGCACAAAATTTTTAGAAACCTTTAAGCTCATAAAATAGAAAAATCCGTCAATATACAAAACTTAATTATTTGATCTTGAAAATAATCTCTCAATTGTACCTATACTTATCAAACCAACTCACCAACTATTTGGGACAAAATTGGACGAAATTAAATCAACTTATAAATTGAAGACCAAGTCAAAGAACTTTCCAACATAAGTTAGTATAGAGCCCATGAGAGAGATTGATAATTGAACATATATTAAATGCATGTAACATTACCAAACTCTACCTTCTTCTTTGCTTTCATGTTGTTAGAACACAAGAATGATTTAAAGGAAAACAATCGTTGTGTCGTGGATACACTAACTGAAAGCAATTTCGACATGACCTTGTTGCTAAATCATTTCATGCCGGTTCCTCCTCAAGATTAACACAACATCTAAATTAAGACGTGCACTGGCCGGAGCAAAGTTGAATCGAATCCCAACTCAGAAAAATGAAGAAAAAAATTCTATAAAACAAAGCAAGAAACGTTTTCGATCTAGATTTTTGAGGAACCAGAAGAACAACTTTTAAAAAGGAAATTAATCAAAACGTTTTAACGAAATTAATTAATAAAACGTTAATAAGATTAATTACCAATTAATATATTAACGTTACCATAATTACTTTGAAACATTTTATAATAATTTCAAAAAGTTATAAAATATATTTCTTACTTTTCTTTCTTGCATTGTCATTCCCAAGATATACTTTTTAACCTATAAAACATCAGTTTGAAACTCACCCACAGGATAGTTGACATAGTAAAATGCCAAAAGCAATCTAGGGGAAGTAAGAATTTACAAACCACTCTAAAAATTCATAATATCATTTCTTATCTTTTACTATTTTTACTTCTACACTCAAAATTCGTTTGATATTTTATTATTCTTGAATTTTAATTTTAAAATCTAAAAGTTGGTAAGCATCTCAATTCACTCTTAAGTATTGTTATATCCATCCTACAATAAAATCATTAAATGGCTAAAAAAATAGCAAATGAAATATAATGGCCTAAAAGTACCTGACAACTCACCCCTCAACCCTCATTGCTGGTGTGGAGATGGGAGAAGAGGGAAGATGATGGGAGAAGAGGGAAGATGGGATGGAGGGGGAGACGCCAGGTAGAAGAGAGAGAATGGGGTAAAGGAGAGGATTTTTTATTTTTTTTATTTGTTTTGCCACATCACTTATATTTGAAATATTAAGAAAAATAATTTACTTTTACCATAAACATATATACAATATAAATTAATATTGAATGGATCAATCAAAATCCTATTCATTAGCCAAAGCAAACATAAGCGATAATTGACATGTATCTCTAAGGTGTAGGTGCGAGTGAGGATGCTCTCCCCCATTCTCGTATTCGTGAAAATTTTTAGTCTCCATCTCCACCTTGTTCTTGGATCTGAGAGATAGAAAATAAGTCTAGAACATCTCCCTCTTACACAAGTCGTTAGCTATGCAGAGCCATAAGAAAAGTTAAGCAAAATATAAGAACGAAAATAATACAAAGATGAGTTGTTATGAGAGAGTACAAGCAAAATGAAGCAAAACACAGCTACACCGTGCAAATCGAGAGGATAGCACCGGACAGCGGCGCCTTGGCGCTATTCGTATTACAGAAAACCCGTGCACCTAGGCACTGGTCAGAGGTGCTTAGGCCCCGGTTATCGACAAAAATTATCGGTTTTATAATTTTTTTAATTATTTTTAGAATTTAAGTATCGAAAAAGTGTAATAAATTAAATATATATTAATTATTTAAAAAATGGAATCGGAGACAGAGACGAGGTCAGGACATGTATTTCCTATTTTTGGGACCTGACTATGCGGAAATTTTTGCCTTCCCCCTAATGTAGAGACATGAAAATATAAATTTAAAGACATGTAAATAAACTTTTGGAAGATAAATTTTAAAGAGATAAATAAAAAGACTTAGAAAAAAATAGTTAAAAAAAAGTTTAAAAAGACAAAAAGAGAAAAATTTTAGAGAAAAAAATTAAGTCGAGAGGAGAAGATATGTTAAAGGAAAAAAAATTATAAAAAAAAGGAAGAATTATAGTGGAAACAAATTTAAAGATAATAACAAGATTCAAAATATAATTTTTAGAGAAAATAAATAAATACAAAAATAAATAAAAGTTACCGTAAAAGACAATTGAACCAGAAAATAAAATATAATTTTCAGAGGAAAAAAATGATTACGAAGAGAGAAAAGTTATAAAAGATGAAATTTTAGAGAGAAAAAAATCAAGAAAAATATTAAATTTTTAGAGAGAGAAATGAAGCTGTTCCGTTAGAGAAAAAAATAAAAATACAAAAAAATTTGGGGAGAAATAAATAATAATAAATATTCCAAATATAAAAATTTTAAAGAGAGAAAAATAAAGTTTGTATAGAAAAATTTAGAAATAAAAAAGTTTTAAAGTGAGAAATAATTTTTTTAAAGATAAATATGAGAAAGAAAAAAAATTTGAGGATTAAAATGAAAAATCAGATTTTGAAAAAAAAAACCTATTTTTGAAAACAATT